GAGGTGGAAGGGAGATGGTGGTGCTGTCTGCAAGGGCAGAGAATGTTCTCTCCAAATAGGAGCTGCTCTGCCCACGGGGGAGGCCGGGTCTGGCGGGTAACCAATCTACCTTGATGAGTTACCTAGGAAATAAGCACTCCAGAAAGGATGGAGCCAACAAAAGGTTAACATTATTGAAACCTAAGCAGAAGGCACCAATTTCACTGGGGCAATACGCAGACTAGTCATCCCTAAAAGTTCTTCATTGCTACAGGTCCAAGAGGTAAATGTGTTTTGTAGTCTAACCCAATGAAAAAAGTCCAGGGAGAAATGGTTTTATCTTCTCCCACTTCTTGTCCCTGAAGTCAGAATCCTTAGAGGCCAGAGGCAGGCAGAAAGAGGAAGCAGGCCCAGCAGGGGTACTGGCTCTCAGAGATGCCCACAGCATCCTGGCACCACTTATGGCCAGACATGAAGAAAGCAACACAGTATGATCAATCATGTCAGAGCTGAGAGAGATCAAGAATGGCAGCATGGCCCAGGGGAGCAGATAATCCCAAACTCAAATTCCAGACTGGCCTTTTACTAGTCGTGTGATGTCAGACAAGCCTGCCAGTCTCTCTATTCCCATTACCTCCATTGCTGCAAATGGAAGGGATGAAATGTCTACACATGAAGGTGAGGATTAATGAGCAAGCAAGGTGTGCACGGGTCATTACCGTCGGGGAGGCAGTGCCACTATCAAAGGATGGCTGTCTTCACTCCTCACTCTGAAAGCATGAGCTACTTTACTGTGTCTGACCAAAAGTGATGCCAGGATGCTGTGGGCATCTCTGTAGGGAATTCAAAGAGAAGCCAAAGACTCCAGTTTCACCTAAATTTTCTGGACTACACTCCTCCCACCAGCAGAAGGGAGCAGGCAGCTTCATGCAGTTGGGTCCTTTTCTCCAAGGGTGTCACATTCACTGTCCTGCCCTTGCTCTTTTCTCTGCTTCCTCTGACTCCCTTTGTCCTCCATCATTCAGAATCCCATCACACCCTGCTCCCCACCCCAGATGCCCAATATGGCATCTCCTCATCTGGGACCCCAGAAGCCTGTCCTGGGAAAGAAAAAGGTTTTGGATGGCTTGCCCCTGGCTGCTCCCAACCAGGGGGGCATGACAGATGGACTCTGCTCTGGGACCCATTAGTTTCCATGGCCCTTGGCCATGTGACCTCAGGCTATGGTCTTGTCAGTTCTCATAAACTAGGGAGGAGTGGGCGAGGTCACAAGTAGCTGGTAGCACTCTGGGGAAAATAGCAGGAGCTGTGGGAGGAAGAAGGTCAAGCTGGGATCCCAAAGGCCATGGGAGCCTCACCCCTCACTTCCTCACCTCTGAGCAGCTCTGGCCTTACAGGAGGGGAAGAAGGAAGTAGGCACTGTGGATAGGCCTTGGGAATAAGACTTGGTGAGTCCATACTTCTGGGAATCTAGCGGTCCTCAGCTCTTCAATCAAAGAACCTGACTGCCTTGCCCTTTGTCAGATGTTTGACAGTTAATACCCAAGGTTCTATCCTTGGAGCCCCGCTGATCCAGCCCTCACCCCAGTGCATCTTAATAAGGTGAATTACATAACACCTGATGCACACACTGGTCTTCACATCTTCAATGGGTGCTGTGAGAGGTCAGGAAGGAATATCTGTGGAAAACCCCACACACCCAGCACTGTGTTGACCCTGTGTTGATAGTGAAGGGTCTCTGGGGGGTACTGGATTGCTTTTTATCTGCTTTATGCTAAACACATAGAGAGTGAGATGTCAATGAAGTCTAATTCTCCTCAATGTCCTGAAATTGGGGACTACACATCCCAAACGCTGAACTTCTCTGCCTCACCTTAATTTTTATAATTTAAGTCATCTTTGGATTTCAACACAGTTGTGGGAAATTAGTTACCTCAAGTTCTCTGATAGGTTAATGCATAGTTGGGGAAGTTATCCTGAGTGAAAAATGTACACGTAAATAAATTTCTGAACTATGGAGATGTTCTAGTTACTTTGTGGCAGCCACGGGATTAGATGCGAGAGAGAAGAGTGTGTGCATGCCCATGAGCACAGCGAACATTATTTATGCCCTACACAAAAACACAGGGCGCAGTCTGCTATTTTAAGAGCCTGAATTCTATCTTTCAACAAAGTTTAGCTGCTTTCCTTTTGCAAATGCATTTAATTTTATCTGGAAACTTTCTGACGTTAGAAATAGAACAACTGTAGTTTCTCATTATGTTTGCTGCCAGAATCCATGCTTGGTTGCTCAACTAAAGACCTTATACTGCTAATTACTACCACATGCCCATATCCCAAGCGAAGGAAAACTTATTGATTCTGACAGTCCATTCTCTCAACACTGAATTCCAAATGAAAACTCAAATTTTGGCCAAACATAACATTTCATCAATCTTGTTCTACTGACTGGAAAAAACAACATCAAACAAAGGGTGCTAATGGCCCCCTATTACTGTTCCTTTCCCAAGCTTATGTTTTCTGATGAAAGATCTAAGTGACCAAAGGGCTTCTTTAAACTACTTCGTAATTAGCTTTTGAACCAGGCAACAACGTGTAAAGTAAAGGGAACAGTCCCAGTGCCTGTGACAGTCCTACCCTGGATCTGATGGGTCTTGGATACTGGAGACTCAGAAGCACATGAAAAGCAAAGTGTGCCTCTTTCTGAAGAGTGAAAAAGAAAAAGAGAGAGGAGAGAGAGAGATCCTAAGAGATCCTACTGGAGGATGACAGGATGGAGAAATAGCAAAGACTGGGAGTGATGTATCATGTGCAGGCATTGGCCCACAGGGGTGTGCACAGCCCCAGCAAAGAGATGATCAGATGAGTCCAGGCATCAGACAAGGAGTCTCACTAGGACATTTGTCCCTCAGAAGCCACCCACCTTGGAGGAGAGAAACTATTCTAAGAAAAACAAAACTTTTTTAAATCTAAGGTGAGAATCAAGAAACATTTTCAGCACAGACTTCAGGACAATTGGTTTTATTGATGTCCTGAGGGGTAATTCCGAGAGATGCTTGCAGGCTGAGCAAGTGGGCTGGGAGCCATAATGAGCACCCAGCTGGCCAGAGCCTTCTGCTTTATGGCGACCTGTCCACACCTTAAAGACAAAACAAATAGAGGAGCTGTTGGCCTCTTGGCGTGGAATATGCAGCCAATGAGGATCTCCAGACTTATCTGGCCTTTTGGATCCAACCAATGGCCCAGAAATCAGAACAGCTTGGGTCTAATCTCATCCAGGGCTGCTGAGATAATAGGAAGAAGAGGGCGCCATAGCAGAGAGGTGGAAGAAGGGGTGGTCCCACGGGAAACAGGCCAACTGTCTCCTCACGCCCACACCCCTCATTCCTTCCCAGTGAAACTGGTGTCCTGTGGGCAGTTAAAGGAAACTAGCCTTGTTTCCCACCTCCTCATTTCCTGAGCCGTGGCCTGGACACCTGAGCTCAGGGCAACACTGGAATCTTGTATAAGAAGAGGCCTTTGCTGGTAGCCAGCTGGTCGAAAGGGAGGAGGCCATGGGGAGAAAGGCTGATCCTGGTTTTATTCTCTCTTAATAAACAGGCTCTTAAAAAGATGATTTGAAAATCCGTGTGTGTGTGTGTGTGTGTGAGTGTGTATGTGAGTATGTGTGTGTAAGTGTGTATATGTGAGCATGTGTAAGTGAGTGTGTGTGTGTGTGTGTGTGTGTGTGTATGGGGGGAAGAGGGGTGGTTATGAGAGGCCTGGTTCTGACAGGAAGTTCCATGACCTCCGAAGGGGCTAGGTGAGGAAAGCTTTCTGTATCTCACTCTGGAATGGCATCGAGGGAACAAATATTTGAGCTCAAGATGGAAGATAGACTCCTCCTGCTTTGCAGGGATTGGACCTCACAACAAAACCCTAGCCAGGAGTGGAAGAAAACACTTTTTTAAATAAAGGAAAGCAGGCTGTAGCCTCCCCAGAACTCCCTCTCCTTGAGGCACTATGGGGATAAAGGCCGTTGAGGGGAGGTCCAGCCATGTACATAGCAATCAAACTTCAGGCTGATAAAGGAACACTGGAACAGAGACCTTAGCACACACTGAAACTGTCACCAAGAAGGAAACATCCTCCCAATGTGGGGAGCAGACACAGACTCTTCTAGAACATGGTAACAAGGTCATTCTGGCATTCCCCAACATGCCAGAAACACAGTAGTCCTTGTGTGTCCCCCAAATTCATGAGGCCCTTGGAGGCAAAGTTCAGTGTCCCCCAGCTGAAGACAGTAAGTTCTAAGGTGGCCACAAAACCTTCCAAGAAGCACAGTGACCTTGATCTAGGTCTTGTCTGCCCAGTCCCTCTGCCAGGGCAAGATGGTATGATAGCAGGAGTACTAATAATTACAACCTGCCCTCACCCCCAGATGGCACCATAGTCAGCTGAGGAACCAGAATGCCAGCAGCCCCTGAAGCAGACGGTGTGGAGGGAACAAGCCCACCTTCCCGGTAAAGGGTCAGCTGGTGAAAGATGGGCCCTGCCATCTCTGCACCATAAATGGCCTTTCATGAAAAACTCCAGCATGTTTCTTGGAAAGACAATTAGGGAAGAAACCACTGGTCTCTTCCTTCTCTGCTAGGTTGGGAGCAGACCTGAGTCAACAGTCCACGCAGAACAGGTTCCTGGAATCACACCCCACACAGAGCCAAAGAAGGTGATCCGGCCCTCACAGAAGCACTCCAGTGGGGACAGGGGAGGGGCAGGGTCAGCTGTCCCCATCAGAGGGGCCCTGGCAAGTCACTCAACCACGTGTTTCCTGCTGCAGATGACTTACTTTCTGCCTCCATGTTTGTTAAAAGTCCCGCCGAATTTATTCCGATTCAGGATGAGAGCAGCGATTTCGGGCACGTAGCGAGCAAACATTGCCTACATGCATGAAACAAAGAAACAAGAGCAAAAAAAAAAAAAAATGGCATGCAGAGAGGATCCTACTGCGGTGGAGGCAGCAAGACCTCGGGCATACTTACTTTCTTCCACTAACCGCACTATAGGAGCCCCCGTATTTCTTGCGGTTTCCTATTAACTCTATGATTTCAGGGACGTAGCTGGCAAACATGGCCTGAGGAGAAGATAGGAGACAGAAGAGAGACTAAAAAGACAGCCAAAGGAAGGGAGTGGCCTGTCCGGGTGGGGATGCTAAGATCTGAGAACACAAAAGGGTTAGGGCCGAAGGTCTCTATCAGTAGGCTGGATTATTAAATTTAAAAATTAAGGACTGAAATAAAGGTGGGGGGGTGGGAGAACACTGCTGAAAACAAATAGGACCAAACACGCATCAGCCAACCTAAACAACCAACAGTAACAGTCACAGCTGGGAAAGTAATAAAGGAGACAGGAATAGATAAGGTGACATCCAGGTCTTTTACTTGACCTGGAGGAGGAAGGAGGAAAATGGAGGCATGCTGGGGAAACACATATAACACACACATGCCACACGCATGCACACAGCACACTGTCAAAGGAAGATCTTTCTCACTAAAATCAAAGGGACCATCAGTGCCTTCAGAAGTAATTATAGGCAAGTGCCCAAAGAAAATTGTATACATACATATATGTGTATGTATACATACACATATATATACATATAAACTTTCCATTTTAAAAAAATCATCAAAATGCCAAAGGGAAAAAATCAGGAATCATGTGGGAAGAAAAGAGAGCAAGGAGAAACACAAATCTGCCATGTTTTGTCCAACAAACATTGAGCTTGTGGCTACAGGGGCCTTGGAGGTGCCACCAGAAGGCTCCTGGGTATACACTGACACAGGATGCTCACATACATTTCATAATGTATGTTATGCCAGATGCATACTGAACAGACAGACCTATGCATGGCATAAACGTGTGTGCAGTATACATGGGGGAAAGCTGTGTGGGAATTAGGAGTTTAACCACTGACATTCCATCACAGCAAAAAAAAAAAAATTCTAAACTTCAAATGGAGAATGCCTTTGAAAGACAAAATGCAGCAACCACCAACGTGTTGCTCAAAATCCCCTTTGGACATAAAGATCAGAACCACCGTCATGATCTGACTGCGTGAACCAGAAAGGCAAAGTCTTCTGTCTGGGGAAGGAGGAAGAAAGGTAGCTCCTATGTCTTTGCATGACGGATGAGGCCAGTTGTTGAGGAAACCACACTCCGTCCATGTGGTCATAGCCACTGAACCAGGCTGTTCCCCCATGTGGGCACCCAACTCTTTAGAGTGAGCCCCAGCCACAGCGTTTGTTGGAAGTTTGGGGAGGATCTCCACGGGGGCAGGGGAGTTCTTGAAACCGCAAACTATCAATTCCGGAGAGCACCCCATGGGTCCGGTGAAATAGCTAACTGTCCTTATGGAATATCCAACACAGAATCAGATCACAAAGGAACATTTCCCTTAATAAGTGAGTCTCAGTCTCTTAAGACCACTGCTGGGTGTGTTGCTTGCTCAATAATTGACCCTAACCAGGGCAATGCACTTGGGTCTACAGGAAACGTATACTTGGGACAGTGCAGCCAAATCTCCCTGGGGCTTGGATAGTCTCAGCCCAATTGCCTGATGAGGCGATCATTGGCTTCCATGCAGAAACACAGTGCCCGGACACAAGCTTTATGGAACTGGGTAACAGAAAATACTCATGACCATAAAACGCAACGTCGCAATAAAGAATGTTTACCAGTCCCCCGAGGATGAAGAAGACCATGAAGAGGCGCCCAAGAGTGGTTTTTGCATAAACATCCCCATAACCAACGGTGGACATGGTGACCATGAGTAGATAGACACATTCCCAGTAGGTGAGTGCCTGGTTGTTCTGGAAGTTCTCCCATGGGTCCCCGGAATTCTCCACCTAAGACAGTCACAGGGAAGGAAAGGAAAAGTATCACGTTATATCCAAAACTGACCAGGAAACACCAGCACCCCCAGCTCCCCTGCTTCCTGAGTCGTCCACAGAGCCCCTGGGCTCCCAGGAGGGCCACACACACTGGCTCACTGTGCCACATGAGGCAGCTATGTGTAACTGGGGGTGCAGTGAGCTCCTGCTGGCCTTGAGAAAGCCCAGCTCCACCCTCAGATGCCGCCTTCTTTTATCCCTGTGACCCAGACAGCCTCATGGGCCAGCTCCTTTGGATTTTACACCCCAACACCAAACAGCCTCTGCTTCCTGGCTGTGGAGAATGAGCCGCTGAAAGGCTCTCTCTGGACCTGGGAAATGAGCTCATGCAGCAATCTCCTTTGGTATCCCCGTCTGACCCACCGTTCCAGCCCCACACCTGTGTGCACAGGCCCTGAAGTGACCATTGGAGGTGGGGGTGGGGGTGGCTTTCGGTCTGGGCCAGTGCGCTGCTTCTGCCCAGGACCACAGTGTGAGTAGCATTTTCAGCTTTAAGTGACACAGTGTCTGAACTTCTCAGTGGCTACAGGTAGTAGACAGCAGTGAGAGAGAGTGGATGGCAGGCTGAGGACAGGCCAGGACTCAAAACAGTCACTGACGCAAAGCCTTCCCGGGTTCTGCTCGTGGAAGTGCAGTAGAGGCAGGACTCAGCTCACAGAGTGTGTGTGTGTGGGTGGGGGGGGGCTGCCTCTTGGATCTGCTCGAGACCCCCAGCCTTCAGGGCCATGGCCAGGAGCTACCAGCAGAGCTGTGTGTGGGGAGGCATCTCCGTCCCTGACCAATGCCCTCCCTGCAGAAGCTTCCAGGCCCCTCGCAACCCAACACATGTCCTTGATGTGTCCGTTTCATGGAGGTTTTCTAGTAAAGCAGAAAATGATTCACAAATGGGGGTAATGGGCAGGGCTGGGGGTGTCACAGGCCTGTTGAAGACAAATAACCTCCCTACATCCGGGCTCAGTTGACCCACCTGGCAGAATTGGGGTGATGCTCTACCAGTGATTTCGGTCAAGGAGCCCCTCAGTATGAAGAGGTGATGGGGAACCAAGAGGTCACATCCAGGGCTCCCCCCACCCCGGCCCATCTGCACAACCTTCCCTTAGATGATGATGATTTAAATTCCAAGTGGTCAGTCACTCCATGTCTTGTGCCTTGACTTATCAGCAAAGAATGGGCACCTTCACTGAAGACCTCAGGACTGAAGAGACTCCATCCTGCTATAACTCTTTGGGTGTGTATAAAACTCTTCCCAATCAATACCTGTGCTCCCTAAAATAAAGTGGAACGTTTTCCTTGGGAAGGTTAGAACAGCTTGATCAAATAGCAAAAGGCTTCAAAGAGTCGTTAATGCAAAACAAAACAAAAAAAAATAGGATTTTAGATAAGAAAAATATTAACAAATTACAGACCTCTCCCCCACCCAAAAAAAAAACCTCTTGGTTTTGGTGTTATCTTTGTTGTTGTTGTTGTTGCTACTGTTGTGGTAGTTGTTATTAAGAGGCAGAGAAACTGAGGAAATCTGAATTGACTGGCTAAAATGTGGGTCAAACATCCAACCTAATCCCCAGATTTTACAGGAGTTTGCTGAGGAACTACTGCCATCTCGTGGATTTCTGGGGTTACTGCAGACAGAATGCAAACTACCAAAGCCCCCAAGAGCGTATGTTGAGCTGTTAGTTGGTGGAATATTGCTCACCACTTGGAACTAGTTTCAAAGGGCCGAAAACCCAGACAGCGGTGCTCCTCCCTTCCCTACACTCCTCTGCTGGACGTATGTCTCCTTCTGGAAAGTGAGGGAAAAAGTGAGTGGAAGGGAAAGAGTAAGTGAAAGAGAGTGAAGGAGAGAGATTTCCGGCAATAAAATAACCCAGAGAATGGGGACTGTTTCGGAAAAACCAGAGTGGAAGTATCTCCAAGGACACTTACCAGGTGGATGAAGCCGGCCGCCGTAAGCCACGTGCTGATAAAAATAGAGAGCAGATTCACCAGCTTGATGGAATTGCTGTGCAGAAGGGACCAAAATCCCAGGTTAGAATAGTGGCATGGAGGCCGCCGCCCACGACAGCCACAACCCCCATTGGAAGGGGAGAGACACCCCCTCCCCTGCTCCCCGCCTTCTGTGCATTGCAAGGGAACTCCCCCACAGGGGTTAGGTCAGAGGGAGATTATAAAGACAGCTCTAATGAACGTGATGTCTGAGTTAACCCAGCGAATTCTGTTCACTTTCTGAAAATGAACTTTCGTTTGTCTGAAAATGAACTTTCATTTGGAAAATAAAATCTTTACGTATACAGAGGTATGGAAAGAACTGAATAATACGGTGTTCTTTGACCTTTCCGCACCTGCGGACAGTCCCTGCATCGGGCGGTTCTGCCCAAGGTGCCAGACCCGCGGGTTTCAACCTTCCTGCTCCTCACGACCAGTACCAGTCCGTGGGCCAGAGACCAAAGCCCATGATCCAATAAGCATGTGAGTGCCCTCCACCCATGCACACAACGCCTCACTTGCTCGCTCGCTCTTTGGCTTCCTCCCTTCCTTCTATCGTTGTATATGTCATGGCACAATCCCTTCCACACCAAGATTACCTAAGACTGTGGTGCAACATAATAGCTATATCACGCCTCAGAAAACTCATGTGGATGGAATAACATCAGCTCATATGAAATCCTTCCTTAAACTGCTCTGCTTGCCCAGAAATTAGAATTATTGATGTTTTTGTTTTGAACTCTAATTCACCAACTCACTAGGGTCCAAGCTGGCAATGGGTTATTATGAGGCCATTATTTTCCCCCAAGGAACAGACAGTGTATAGTTTGGGCTCTGTGGGGCCCCCCCGAGCCTCTGTGTGACCACAAAACCCTTCTGCAGCACAGAAGCAGCCTGTAAAAACAGACATGACTGTGTCCCAACAAAACTTTATAGAGATGTAACCAATGCAGGTTTGTACCACATGCTCTGCCAATCCTGCTTTATTCTGAAAGGTTCCCTGCCCTGTCATCTTTAGCTTGTTTTGAAAAACACTGAACTTTGTGAGCAGCCAGACCAGGGCCTTCCCTACTCTGGGCTGTCAGCTGGCACCCTGTGAGCAGAGCCTGTGCTCACACTCCTTTGAGAAGAGCTACTGGTGGGGGTGGAGAGAGAGTACAGTGGGTAGGGCTCTCGCCAGGTCCCATTTCCCTGGCCCTACGCCTTGGCTCATTCTGTGACTTCACCAAAAGTCCCTCCCATCCATCCACATTTTCCCCATCTTCAGAGCCTGGTTCAGTCTCTGTCTCCTGCTTAATGGGGCCCCACCCCACTGCAGAGGCTCCTCCCCCCCACACACACACCTTGCTCTGAGCCACAGGGGCCTTGCAGTACTGTTGCTCTGGACCCCTGACTCTGGTATTCCCAACTCCATTATACCCTAAAGAGGAGAGCTGGAGTTTTCTCCTGACTCTTCTCACTGTGGCCTGACCCCACTCACAGCGGACCCTGCCCTTCCCTCTGGCTGACCTCTGCCCTCTCCCTACTCCTTCTCAGATTTGAATCGTGAGCTGAAGAGCGTGGGTATATGAATGGCACACACTCGCCCTTCTCGCTCTAGCATATTCTTTCTAAGTGCTCACTCCTCGGGCATCCTGAAATACGCTGGGGTGTCTGGAGATTGAGAAATGGACCCAAGGGGCTGGAGTTACAGCACAGTGGGGAGGGCATTTGCCTTGCACACGGCCGCTGCTGATTCGATCCCCAGCATCCCATATGGTCCCCTGAGCACCGCCAGGAGTAATTCCTGAGTGCAGAGCCAGGAGGAACCCCTGAGCATTGACCAAAAAGCAGAAAAATAAAAAACAAAAGAAAAAAATGATAGCTGTGAAGGCGCTGATGCTTTGTGTGTGAAATTAATACCTTCTGATGGCCAAGAGTTTACTGTAAAAAAGAACAGGCATTAACATCAGGAACAATAAAAAAAAGAAAGAAAGAAAAGAAATGGATCCAGGTTTGCAAGACCCTGATAGGAAGCTGGACAGTGGTTCTGGGGCAAGTATCTGTGGAAGATTCTCTTTTCTCCTGTCTGTTCATGTAGCTGAGCAGGTTACTGGCGCTCTTGGTTTCTCCTGCCTTGGCCCTGGGAAGGAGCAAACAGATACACACACTGACTTCTCGGTCAGAACAGCCTTCTGCAACGTGAGGGATGGCTGCCTGCTGGTCCACAAGCACACTAGAGGGCAGCAATGGTGACCGTCTGTCTCTCTTGGCCATGTCCAGCCTGGCCTGGGGTCACAGCCAGTGTTCCCCACACACAATGGCTTTCTCCATTTTCCTCCCATTTCTACCACTGATTCTTTGGTTCGGGCCCTATTACTGCTGCCAGGAATTGGTTGATGAGCTTTAATGATCTTCAATGGCTTCTACTGGCTTCCAGGAGTTCAGGAGCTGGCTTGGGAGAGCGTGACTGGGACTGGGGGTTGATCTCATACCGAGCTTGACATGTACAGCACCTCTTAGGGGCCGCCACACTGGGCATTCCTCCCCTCTTTGTGCTACCTCTCAGCCTCAAGAGCGACTGATCCACAGCTTCACCGCATAACCTCGATCTTTTCCTCTACTCATCAGGGGTCAAAGGAGGAAGGCCCAGCTGCAACGAGTGGTAGAGTCCATTGAAGGATCCTCTGAGGCACTCACAGGAGCTGAGTGGGAGGGTTCTTTTGTTTGGTTGGTTTTTGGTTTTGCTTGGTTTTGGGGCCACAGCTGACGCTGCTCAGGGATTAGTCCTAGCTCTGCACTCAGGAATTACTCCTGGTGGTGCCCAGGGGACCATATGGAATGCCAGACATTGAATCTGGGTCAGCTACATGCAAGGTCAGCACCCTACGTACTGTACTATCATTCTGGGCTCCAGAAAGAGCCTTATTTGGTTCAAGTTTAGGGTCTAAAAAATGTAAGTTTGGGGTTGGCTGGAGAAAATCAGCCTGAGAATGAAACCCACAAAGAGATAGAATGAAAGCCAGACACACACACACAGAGAGAGAGAGAGAGAGAGAGAGAGAGAGAGAGAGAGAGAGCGCTGGAGAAGAGAGAGATGGAGAGAGGAGGAAAGAGCTAAAGAGAGGGAAAAGAGAGGGAGAGTGAAGTAAACAGAGGGATAGATAGAGATATGGAGGGTGACAGAGAAATGGAGTGAGAAACAGATAGAGATGGAGGGAGATGGAGAGTGATAGAGAAAGACATTGAGAGATGAAGATATGGGAAGAGATGGAAAGACAGAGATGGATAGAGATAATGAGAGATGCATAGAGAGATGGAGAAGTGGAATTCTGTTGCGTGAACACAAAACTGTGGTCCTGGGAGCAATCCCAGTGCACCCTGGCCCCTAATCTCAGCTGGTGAGAGTATGGTTGGGCCCTCATGTTCATTTAAGAGCCCCCTGCAGGGCGAGGGTAGCTCAGTGGCCACGCATCCGCCTTGCAGGGGTGAGGCCAGGAGTTCTCCCCACCACATACTGAACACAAACTGGGGTCTTCCAAAGCCAGTGAGTGCAGTGCCCGGGCCAGCAGCAACATGGGAAGGGGACAGGCAGGGGAGTCCCATGTCTATCACAGAAGTGGTTGACTGATGAGCAAAATGCTTCGAGGACCTACTAATTAGCCAGGTGTAGAACATAGGTCTGGGACTGTGTCTGAGCAAAGAGGAAGAGCTTGATACCCACTATCGACTCAACCATAAGATTCCTTCCATAGGAAGCTGGAGCTTCCTGGCTCCATGGGATGAACCTGGCACTTACCAGGGCAAGCCCAGAGGAGCTATAGTGTGGACTTGTTCCTTCTGCGTACAGGTCATGAATCCAGCCTCCCACCTCACCTCTGACTAGTCTCTGTAGCTCTGAACGACAGCACAGACAGGCCAAAGCAATGCTTCAAACCATCTCTCTAAGCCTATCTTTAGAGTGAAGCGATTCTGTCCCTCTTGCTTTACTGCTCCCTGCCTTTTCAAAACTTTCTCTCAGGGAGGAAACACCGTCCCATGAGAGGCTGGGACATGCACCCAGTAGGACATCTCAGAGGAAGCAACTCTGGCAATCACTGAGCTGAGTCTAGTTGTGGCTAACTCACTGTCACATCCTGTCCCCAAACTTCTCCCTCATAGAAAGTCCAGAGTGACGCCCTCCATGGCTGTTGCTGCAGGGCAAAGCCCTGGGGGGTGGGGTTCTGCTTGTAGGCAGTGGCACTGGATAAGGGATAGGGAGCTGGTGGCAAAGTGGATATGCCAGGGAAGCACCTCTTGCTTCTGCCTTTACCACGTCGCTTCACAGAACCGTGGAGCCTGGACAATACTGTGTGTCATGCACACCCCCATCCACACCCCACCCCCAGTGACCAAGCAGGACCCTCCAGAGTTAAGAAAACTGCTGGTGTTTCTGAGGCTCTTGGAGCTTTGCAAAAATGACACAGATGTGCAATGATTAATCTCTGAGGGATATGAAGAGTGTTTAAGGGAGCACTTTTTTGCGTAGGACATGTCGTCATTGTTGCTAGAAGGTTCCACCATCAGCACAGAAATCGGATTAATTTTAGGGCATCATTACAGATGCTGTAGTATTAGGAATTTGCTTTCCAAATTAAACCCTAAGAACAGATGATTATCTAAAAGCTCTGTGCAAACAACTCACGATTAACTCGTGCATTTTCTCTCTACCCTGCGATTCCGACCTCGTCCAGCTGCTGGGCAGGAAGGAGAGGGACATGGGCTGGGGTTTGTGCTCTGCCTGGCAAAAGAAGCAATTGTAGAGGGCCCTGGGTATCAGTGCCAAAATCTGGGTGTGAAACAAACACCATGTCCCAAGAGAAGAGTGACAGGTCCATTCAGTCCAGTGCTTTCTCATGCCTGGAGTGGGGGCGTGGAGTGGTCTCAGGACAAGAAACTACATGTACTAAAAACAATCACCTTCTGCTCTCCACATTCCAGGCCTCCACTTGTGCATTCGCTAGCCAGGAAAGAGTCCACATGCGAGGGACCAGTGAGTCAGACATAAGGGCAGGGAATGCCCTCCCACCAGAGACCACATTCAGGAGGCTGCCACTAGTGGGAGTACCGTGTGTCTGGAGACCAGCTCTACTGTTGGTGCATTTCACAAGATGCATTTGTCTTGCTCTGAAATGCCAAATGAGGTTGACCTGCCCACATGTTTCTTCTTTATTTCTGGGTGAGGGGCTGTCAGGTGCCCATCACCTTATCCTGTTCTCTCACAGCTTCTGCTGGTCGGATATAGAACACTCACTCTGGGATGTACGAAACAGCATCCTGTGAGGACGCCCTGAACCCCAAGGCATGGCTTGGCAATAGCATCAAGCACTGCCACTTCTTCCCTGAGTGTCTGCTGGCCTCTCCCTCCTGTTCTCTCCCCTTTTCCTCCTCCCCTGCTCTCTCCTGTCTTCTCCTCCTGCCCTCTCCTGTTCTCTCCTACCCTGATCTCTCCCCCTGTCCTCTCCTGTTTTCTCCTCCCCTCTCTTTCCTCCCGCCCTTGCCACCGCCCACTGGAGCTGACACTTCCCACCATCTCCTGCCTGAACTGTTCCCATCACACCTCCTCTCAATAGCATCAGAGAAGTGGTGGGGCTTTCTGAAACATCAACCCATGATCCCCACATGCTGAAGAGCCTTCAACTCTCTGCCACATCTCAGCCCTTCATGGTTCTGTTCCATCAGCAAAAGCTTTTGTAGCCTCCTGATGGCCAGTGTTTTCTGTTTCTCAGATCTGTTTTTTGGCCAGAGAGATAGCACAGGAGTTTAAGATGCTCGTGTCACACACTGCTGATCTGAGTACACTGGTAGAGGGAAGTGGACACTGGTGAAGGGACTTGTGTTGGAACATTGTATGCCTGAAATGCAATCATGAAGAACCTTGTAATTCACGATTTTATTTTTTATTCAATAGGTAAAGGTAAAGGTAAAGGCCCTCCCGTTGATCGTCGATTTGCTTGAGCGGGCCCAGTAATGTCTCCATTGGAGACTTTTGTTGTTACTGTGTCTGGCATATCGAATACTCTCGGTAGCTTGCCGGGCTCTCCGAGAGGGGCGGAGGAATCGAACTTGGGTCGGCCATGTTGGCCACGTGTAAGGCGAACGCCCTACCTGAAAAGCTCCCTAATTTGAGGAAAACATAAACAAGGAAAGAAAAGGTGCATGCCATGAGAGAGAGTGTGTGGCTCCATGGGACATCACCGGCTCTAGGACAATCCAAAGTCTCTTGACTATAGTCCTGTGCTTGGCATTGTGCTTAGCACCCAATACAGGACGTGCTAGCATTAATAATCATAACTAATTCAAGACTAACAAATCCAGTGCATGGAATTCCATTTTTAAAACCTAAAAATCAGATGCCATAGCCATTCTGCCGAACCCCGCACCAGGCTGTTTCATTCAGGGCAATGCGGGAGGGGATGGGGGCCTTGAGGCTCACCCCGCCCCAGTGGAACCAGCTCCAGCAGCTGTAAACCTCCAGAACTCAACCACCACCATGTTCATGGTCACTCTCCACACGCTTGGGTTGAGCCTCACCCATGAGTGAACCGCATTTGTAGCAGTGTGACATCTCATACCTCACACCACATTTGATGGGGTTTAAATCGGAAGGCAAGCAATCTTAGGGGAAAATATATTTTTACAGATACATATGTATATCCATGTATATGGATAGATAGATATATACAAGGCTCAACCTTTAACAACATGTTAGTAATCTCTTATAGAAGGGCTTAATGGCTCCTGGGTGAAATACAATCTTCACACACTTTCCTCTAAGAACCTTTTTTTGGATCTTTTCAGGGAATTATTCACAGCAAACAATACAAATGAAATTATTTCAGTTCTGCTTTGGGCAGGGGTTGGTATTCAGTATGGAAACATCTGAAATATGGTGGTGAAAAGGTGTAATGGTGGTGGAATTGGTGCTTGAATATTTTTGATACTTGTTGTTACTGTGTTTGGCATATTGAATATGTCATGAGCAGCTTGCCAGGCTTTGCCATGTGGTGAGATACTCTCGGTAGCTTGCCGGGCTCTCCGAGAGGGGCGGAGGAATCCAACCCAGATTGGCCGGGCTGGCTGTGCGCAAGGCAAATGTCCTACCACTGTGCTATATGAATTACTTTATAAAAATAAAGTTAAATTAAACAAAAACCCTAAAAATCAAGCCAAAGAGATATACAGCATGTGGGGAACTTGTCTTGCAATTAGCTGACTCAGATTTAATCTCCAGTACCTACTAAAGACCCCTGAATACCACCATGATTCCTAAGCTCAGAGCTGGGAGTAAGTCCTGAACATCACCAAGTATGGTCAAAAAATTTTAAAAAATGATACAAAACAAGGTCATTGTCACATAGAGGAAATATAAAGAGTGACACTGATTCACTGCATATCAATAAGTGAACCAATAAGTTTGATCTCAGGTCAATGAAGTTGCAGGACATGAGAACATTTATTCAAAAAATTCTATGAGATGCTCTTTTTAACTTCTACAACAAATGTATCTCACATCCATACAGCTGGCTAGTCAGGGAGGAGAAATCAATCTGAAACAGACGGAAACTAACAATGTCACTAGGAGCCAAAAGGAGAGCCAAGTCCTGTCCTCTTTGTTGAGTGGACGTGACAGGTTTGGAAAAGTGAGTCACAACCTCAGGTAGTGGGAAAACAACACAAAATCTGACACCCAGGCTTCATGAAGGTGTCTTTAGTATATAGTACAGAATACAGAGACAAGTGGCCAGGGAGATGCGATAGTCTAGGGCAGTTTCTCTGTACAAGAAGGACCCTGATGGATCTGCAGCACTGCTTATATTCCCCCAGGCAGCATCAGAAGCACCCCCTTAGGGCAAAGCCAGGAATTAGCCCTAAGTGCCACCTGGTGTGCCTCCCCCCTACAAAAAAATACAGAGGTGTCCTGTTTCTAATCATTTATCACACATATTAAGGCTAACCAAAGAGGAAACAGAATACTGGCCATGTGCCTCTGAAAGTGTAATTTCCTATAAGAGGAACTTATGACTGGCCCTTCTGCTCCATTAGCGAGCGCTGAACTTCCTTTATTAGTTTATTCATCAAGGCAGGCCTGGGCTCAGGCCAGTGCTGTGAACACACCGGTCACGAGGAATAAGATCTCAGGGGGATTTTCCCTCCTGGTTCGGGAGGAGGGTTTTCCAGATGATAACACAGTTAACAGAAGTCACTGTGGTGCATTTGGCGGGAGGTCTTCAGGTATTCCCCAAAAGGCAATTCACAGAGCCAGCCCCAGGGGCTGCACTGGCTATAAAATGCACATCTAAAATGTACTTTGAAATGAAATGATTTTCTGTTTGCCATATGAGGTCTGTGATTGCCTCTCCCAGAGCATTGCTTCTATTGCTTTTATGGCCTGGTTCAATTTCTTACTTAGTGATGTAACAAAGGGGTGATTTAGAGTCAGGGAGCCAGGACTTGCCACTGATGGACAGTTCTTTCCCTCATCCTTGTGTGCCTCCCTGATGTTCATGCAGTCTAGCATGCACCCCACAAGCCGGCCAGGTCCATGCACCCCTGCACAGCTGTGTCTCTTCTCACTGTGCAGGCCCCAGCCCTGAGGGATAAAGAAACCCAGATCCTGGCCTAGTTTCAGTGGACCTCGAGCTGCAGGTGCCAGGGTGAGTGATAGGACTCTGCCTGGTACGGAACACCTGCTACTGACACGGAGGCCCAGAGAGCTGATTGGGGGGGCGGGCGGGGGAGGAGCATGAGAAAGAACATCTTACCTTGTTTTAAGAATATTCAGAAACTGCAAAATCTCTGAAAACTGTATCAGTCGGAGAGCTCGTAAAAATCTCAGGCCTGGAAAGAGAAGTGAAATGAAGAAGCGTTATTTTCAATGCATGGTTTGAAGGCACGAACTCTGCCCCTGGGTTGCTGATGGCCAGGACTTAAGGCAGGAAAAAGCTGGAAACAACCAGTGCTGGCAGGGATGTGGTGAGAAAGGAAGTGTAATCACTGTGGGTGGGAATATAGTCCAGTTTCCCCTACAGAAAACAAAAATTTCACTTTTTGGCATCTACCCCTAAAACACAAAAACATTAATCCCCAAAAGATATAGGCATTCTGATATTCATGTAAACAATAAATATAATAGAATATGGAAACAACTCAAATGTCTAATGACAGATAAATGAATATAGAAGTGGTAATCTATCTAATATGGAATATTATTTATTCAGCTGAATAAAAAAAGACGAAGGCTTGCAGTTGGATACAGCTTGCATAGAATCAGAAGGCATCATGTTAAGTGAATTAAGTCAGAAGAAGGACAATATCAGATGATCTCATTTATCTGTGGTATGTAAAGACACAAAATAAGGGAATAGACAGTATTGAATGATGACATACCCTGGGCCTTGGATTACAAAATGGAGATCCTAGCAGGGGCAAGGATAGTGGGGGAGGGAGTGAACTAGAGATGACACAGGACTGATGTGGGAGGGGCGGCAGGGGACTCTTGAACACTCTGATGATAATAAAGTGTGGTACTGCAAAATGGTAAAGGTTAGTATGATTGCAACCATGCAACTTAAACTACAAAAAAGGAAAGGAAGGGAAGGAGAAAGAAAAAAAGAGAAAGCAAAGAGAGAAGAAAGAAAGAAAGAAAGAAGAGAGAGAAAGAAGAGAGAGAAAGAAGAGAGGAAGAAGAGAGGAAGAAAAAAATAAAAAGAGAAAGAAAGGAAGAGATGAAAGAGAGAGGAGAGAGAGAGGAGAAGGAAGGGAAGAGAGAGTATTTACAAAGGTTGAACCTTCTGGTGCATTGGAAACAGGTCCTTGTTTTGATTCCTGATTGCTGTAACATCAGTAGTGAGCTGAATTTCTCATGAAAGGATATTGATGGAGCCAGAGCAGAGATAGGTCTAGATAAAAAGCTCAGTTTGATGAGGTTTCTCATTTGCCTGTGTCTGGTTTAAAGCAGTTTCTCAGTTACTTAGTTCTCAGAGAGGATTTTGTCTTTGAAAACTATAAGGAAAAACTTGGAGTAACTTTTGTGCTCAGAACAGACCAGACACAAATCAGATAACCAAACATCTTTATCTATCTTCCTTCTGATAAAAGAACAGAAGGGTAGAGGGCCAGGGAAAGCACGCAGATCGGTGAACCACGACTTTAAAACCTGACACCATGAGGTACAGTTATAGACTTACACATTTTTGTGCTTGGGTTTCAGTTATACAATGATCAAGTACCAAAAAAATTTTTTTAAAATAATAATGGGAAAATTAAAAAAAAGAAATCCAAACTAAAATCTACCAGCACCAAATATAGAACTAAACAAACAAACAAAAAAACCTGACACCAAATCCACAGTAACCCTTACCTCTCCAAGCACTGTCAGCTACAGTCCTGATGCCTCCCCAAGACCATGGACCAAGCAGCACCACACAGCCAGAACTGAATGCCAAGTCGTTGGGTCTACACCACTAATCAAGTATTATTGCCTGGACTACCCCTCGTTCTTGAGCACCACTGGGAAGAAAGTGGGAGAAATGAAGAATATAACCCATACACTATATGTTCTGTACATGGCTTGATATTTTTATATTTTTTTATCCCAATTAAAAAATAACAGGTTAAAAAAAAAAGTTCAGGAAAATACTCCTGCAGCCTCAGGAATCAAAACAGATATAATTCCACCTTTACTATATGTCAAGCTAAAAGTCCTTCCTTTCTAAATCAGCAACTTCTCGTGAAAAGAAAAGAAGAGTGGGTCTTCTCTAGGTGGTAGAAGAGAGAGGGGCCTGGAGGGAAAGATAAAAACCAACAGCTAAAGAAACACAAATCACTTTTGAGTCTTCATAGCTTGGGGGAAACACTTCTACTGAGATGCAGTTCAAGAGTTAAAGACACATCACTTTTGTGGCTCTACTATGTAGCCATTGTTCAAGAGAAATTCCAACAAAATACTGTTCATCATAGCTTTGAGACACTTCAGTTCATGCCCTCTTCCAAAAGGACTTATCTGTTACATGTTTTCTGAAAGCATTTTATTAAGCAGTCCACAAAGAGTGTGGGATCAGTTCAGAAGAGCTCACAGCTAATGGGCCAGATTTTATTCTGACCTGGGAAGAACAGAATAAAAAATGAGACAGCAAGAGGTAGACAGAAGCCCCAATGATTTATCAGGGAACCCAGGATGACTTTGTGGAGGAGACCGAGCAGAAACCCAGCCTCACATCTTGCTCAGTTTGTACTGATGGGTCAAGGAAAAGCCAAATTAAAGCCCGTGGGGATGCGACTGTGGAAGAGGACCAAAGTTAATGGCTCAAAAGGAAAACTCATCTGAAAGGGATTTACCTTCACGAACTGAAGACTTTTTTAGAAAACATTCCACTTTTGTTCTAAATGATATTTATACTACTTTTATTAAAGAGAATCACACAGGGATGAGAAGGATGTTGATGGAATACAAAGACTCGGGTACCAAAAATACAGTCCTCCTCCAACTGATGAAAGGCTGATTTCACACAGAAGAGAATGGAATTTTTGGCAGATCACAGGATTGAGAAGTAATCTCAGAAAGCAGAGAAAATATGGGAAAGCGAGGAAAAAGATCACAGAAAGCCAACCAATGAATGAAATGTACTTCAAAGTAAAGAATAAACCACAGGAAAATCATAAGTAATGGTCAGAGCAGAATGAGAATGAACCTGAAAACAGAAGGTAAAATAAATGATCAGTTCTGAAAACCAGTGCCAATCAAGTAGAGCATTTATTTTCCCCTTTAAATTTTCAAATATAAATGAAAAGATAGTTAAATATCAGCATGGAGACAGAATTACCACCAATGCAATTCAGATCAGAGTATAGAGGAAAATCTTCCATGAAAATTAGTCAACACTAAACTTTAAGACAAGCAGAACCTGACCCCGAATGTTTATACCCAGTCAAACAGTTGCTCAACAGTAAAGCAACAACAAAAATAATTCCTCAAATATCCATGCTCTCATAAAATATACTTCTGCGCAGAACATTTTCTAAAAAGTCCCCCAATCTTATTAAATCACAGTGAGGACAAGGTGGTAGTGTAGTTTTAACAAACTATTATTGCCTTAAGCATCCAGCCCAGTGGAGAAAGCTGACCCCATCTGCATTTCTGCAGCGTATCAATGGAACTGTCATCCCATTGTTCATCAATTTGCTCAAGCAGGCCTAGTAATGTCTCCATTGTAAAACTTGCTGTTACTGTGTTTGGCATATCCAATACGTTGCAGGTAGCTTGTGGGGCTCTCCAAGAGGGGCGGAGGAATCAAACTTGGGCCCACGGGTCGGCAGCGTGCAAGGCAAATGCCCTTACCCACTGTGCTATTGCTCCAGCCCATCAGTTAACAAAGATGAGCAGTTAGCATGGAAACAAGGACATGGGGCATAAAATGTGTTAACCACTAGTGGTTTCATCCTGAAAATCCTGTGTGAATTTATACATAGTTTACTATGTTTTACCATGCCAATATAATGAGTTATATTACACGTTATGTGTAATTTTTCCATTTATTGGTACAAAAATATAATACAAACGACTCAAACTTATAATGTTTGTCTCTCAATGATGTCATTTTAAATCACACTGGTTTGGGGCCATACCCAGTGGCGCTTGGAGGCTATTCCTGACCCTATGTTCACAGGTTACATGCAAGACAAGTACTTTAACTCCTGTACTACCTCTTCAGCCCTGAAGCCGCATTTTGAAGTGACTTGAAAAAATATAATAGAAGAAAAATGTTTTTTATTGAAACGTAAAAATAAGGAAGGTCTGGGGAGATAATACTGAGGGTAAGCCTTGCATGTGGCCAACCCAGATTTGATCAATGGTACCCAACATGATCCCCCAAGCTTGCCAGGAACAGTCCCTGAGAACAGATCCAAAGGTAAGCTCTAAGTACTGCCTGGTGTGGTTCAAAAACCAAAATAAATAAAATTAAAATAAGGGTGGGAAAAATATAATGCAACAAGCCGGAAGGTCCTATATTCCTACTAAAAGTCAACCTATTCTAGCTCTGAGAGCGTTTCCAACAAAAGCAAGCAGGAATCCATTTAAAGATGAATAATGGATCAGCAAGATAGACACATAATTACCCAGTATTCTATTTTAAATATTGGTGATGGTTTGACAATTATGCACTGTAGCACTGTAGCACTGTCCTCCCATTGTTCATCGATTTGCTCGAGCGGGCACCAGCAACATCTCCATTGAGAGACTTGTTACTGTTTTTAGGATATTGAATACACCACAGAGAGCTTGCAGCTTATGAAAATAGCTATCTACCATTTTTAATTGTTTCCCTATGCTAATGTTCTCTATGTTCTTATTTAATCCATCTTCAGAAGAAAAGGTTTAAAGATTAGACTAGAGTATGTGGCCAGCATCTAATTTCTAAGTGACAGAGTCAGATTTTAACCAAAATTTTTCTCACTGTGCAAAGCCCAAACTTGTAACTAATTCCTTAAAGAGACTTTTGTTTTCCAATTTCAACCACTCATACTTAAGGAGCACTTCCAACACTACAATTATTCAGAGCTGACCTGACATTTTCAGTTCCATCTGTGGATAAAACTATCCCCCCCCATTCCCCCAGATTAAATATTGTGCTAAAGAAGGAAGGAGGGGGGAAGGTAGGGAGGGAGGAGAAGATGAGGAGGAGGAAGGGACAGACAGTAAGAATCCTAATTTGATAGTCATCAATTCCAAATAGGAACTCATCAGGTTTTATTTAATTTTCCTTCACTGACAAGTAGTACTCATTATACATTCATTTCATTATCAGTCAATAATTTACTGAGTGTCATTTTATTCAATA